ATTTGTTTTACTTCATTGTAAACTGGACTGAGGGGACTTAAAGCTGAGGAGTACCTAAAACGGTTCTAGCTCTGGCTGTACCTTTATCAGAGAGCCTACAATATGAGTGAGCTATTTCTAGGCAGGTCAAAAACACCTGAAAGATGTTCTCTTTCTGCAGGGATTATTATCACCTACCTGACTGCTGCTCAAGGACTCTTACATGCTCTTGGCATTCAGTCTGCATTTAGAATGAAGGTTGAAAAGGTGAGGCGCTGTTAGGGTTATAGACTCAGTCCTACCAACTTTTCAATAAGGAATGGACTGAAACAATTCTACTGTAAGAAAAGTTAGGAACAAATAGGCTAATGTATGTTACGATGGAATGATAAATTTTAAATCTTCGTATCATTGAAAACCTTTAGTCCCAGTGATGATACAGCACGTTCTTTGCCTTCATATGGTAGATATTAGACAAAGGGATGTTCCAAGTGGCTTAGGCCATCCCCTTTTCATACTTATAAGTCACAAAAAGGAATCCTTCGGATAAGGCTAGCACTGATAAGCCTAAATGTACGTTATTTTGTAAACTAGATATAATAATTTGTTTATATGCTGTATTACACTTTATACATATTTTAATACATAGTATTATATATAGCATCCCTGTATGATGGAGAAATGGAGACTTAGCAGTGCTATGGCTTTTTCAAGCCCTTACTGTAGACTGAAAAATCAGTTTAATGTTTTTTCCATAATCCCATTCTGACTTGCTGAAGCTGGTATCATAAGTTCCTAGGTATATAGTTAACATCCTTGTAATTAAGATAGTGCATCTCCAATATGCCCCCAAATTAGGGTACAGATTTCTTTTGCTACTGTAACAAATACTTGAGTATAACTGACACATAGTAGGCGTTTATTCATATCAGCATTCTGATAAGCCAGCTCTTCACTCAGCCTCTGTTGTGTTGCTCTGTCATCCTCAGTCCTCTTTAAGGTCCATAGTGGCTGCTTCAGCCCTCACAGCCATATCTGTATCCAAACAAGAAGAGAGTGGAATAAGGGAAGGATATAACCAGGATCTGCAAGATGCACACATTACTTTTGCCCTCACCCGGAACTTAGTCACCACCTGATCTAGCTGCAAGAGAGACTTGAATATGTCATCTTTATATTGCCATAAACCTAGTTATATTCCAGCCACTCTGTTACTGAAGAAGGAAAGGTGGCTATCAAGAAAATCAGAAAGCTATACCACCAACTCCTAGAAATAACTACCCTGTGACCTCTGATAGATTTTTTTACACATAAATAACCATATTGTTATAACCTTAGGATTTCTGCTTATCTCCCCTCTACTCCCATAGCACCTCTCAGCCCCTCTGCTATGCTCTTATAATGTTTTATTTTTCTTCAGCGCACACATTACTACTTATGACATGTTGTCTTCTCTACTAGGATATAAGTTCTCTGGAGGTAGACATCGATGTGTTTATTGCTACTTTCCTGGAGCCAAGAAAGATGTTTAGCATACAGAAAGCACTTGGTAACTAGCATGAAACAACGGTCTCCCAATACTGAATGATTTGAACATACTTTAATTCCGTATGTGGGTTGTGAGTAAAGCACCATCATCCATAGTTTGAGAAATAAAAACTGTATGGCCTGCATATGATTCCACTCACGAAACCATCTACTAAGTGCACTGCAGAGACAAAACAGTGTGAAGCACTGAGTGACGTAGATTGAACAGTATTTAAAGTGACAGGCATTGAGGTATGTTGGGGATCTGCAGATCTTCATAATGTTAAGTAATTTGGAAACACCATGCAGGAAGGCTGCCATAGGAATTGGGAAGGTGTTCACATGGTTAAAAACATACATCCAGGTGACCTGAGACAGTTTGGTCACATGGAGCTCTTAAGGTTTTGCTGACAAAAGACTAAGGTTAAAGTGGCAGAATGTTAACTGTCCCCCTACAACACTTAACATACTACAAAATCTTAAGTTCATGTTCTGCCACTCATACAGGTACTTGTTGAAGTATCATGGGCAGCACAGAACTGTTATGTAACTTGTTTTATAAGCATTATGAAGTTCTAGTTCATCATTTTGGGTAATTTGATGACACTTTGCATAACTAGATGTACTATTCCAGAGGTGGGTTTTCATTTATTATTTAGATGGACTTGAAGCAATCACAAATCCCTAGACCCCTATGTCTGAATATAGGATTCTTGCGGGGTCAAGCTTTGGTGGCCACCCCTAAGAATAAAAGAGTATAGGACTTGCTATTCTTAAACCTACTCTAGGAAGTACAAGGACCTTCTGAACATTTTAGCCATTGTATTAATACATATCTTAAATACATGTAATTTCCCTGAACCCGTTTCTCCTGTTTGTGCTTAGAAGCGATCGATTTAACAAAAACATATTTCTGATATTCCCTGTGGTGGTTAAATGTTCTGAGTGTTATCAGTCAATGCATAGGTAGGAGCAGCATTTGGAATAACCAGAGTTTTAGTAGGCTTTCTGTTGAGAACATTCAAGTGAATTTAAGGTAGGGCAACTAACATACCAGTAATTTAATCAGACATGTAATATGCTTCTGCTGGAGTAGTTAAAAGGCGTTATAATACTGCTGTGGGTAAAGGCAGTAAAACAGTGCTGGGTATGTAGCTTGGCTAGCTTGTGTGAAGTTCTAGTTTAGATCTCCAGAAGCAGAAGAAAAAAAAAAGTAGCACCTGGGGAAGTAGAGGGGCTAGATAATAGAGGAAAAAAATACAAAATTAACCTTTTTTTCATTTTTGTTTTAAGCGGGAGAGTAGCACGGTAGAACAATTCAGGAGGATTCATTTGATCTTCGGAGGGAGAACACTAAGGTATGTAAGAAAGACACTGAAAAGAAGAAGATGGGTGATGGTTGGTTTTTAGCATATCTCCTTTACTTTTACATAGGAACTTTAGAAAATGGACATTCTTTCCAATATGGAAGAAGGTTCAGAAAGCAGCTTGGTTTGTCCAAAGTAAAAACTATGGTAAACTGGATGCTGTGGTACATACCTGTAATTCCAGCACTTTTGGAGGATGAGACAGAAGGATTGAAAGTTTGAACTCAGTCTAGGCAACTTAGTGATTTTGCAAAACCATGTCAAAATAGAAAATGGGCTGAGGATGTAGTTCGTTACAGAAGCCTTGAGTTCAGTACTAGTACTAAAGTTGGGGAGAGAAGAGGAAAGAAGGAAAGAAAATAGAGAAAAAGAAGGGAAAAGAAAGGACACATGGTAAATGCTGGAATTGGGACTGAAGCAGGCAGTGTCCTCCAGAGGGAAAAGCACAGTTTAATATTTAAACATATTACAGAATTCATTGGCTCCCATAAAGTACAGTACAGAGATTTGCTGATGAGAATTGAGAATAAGTGGAGAAGAAATACTTATTTTCTTACTGTTCAATAAATAAATCATATTTGCTTGTTCAG